TCACCTCCAAAACACTCATGCTATCCTTTTATATCCTCCCCCTTACCCCAACCCCTGGCAATTACTGACCTTTTCCAGAATGTCATAGAAATGGAATCATGCAACATGTAACCTTTCACTCAGCATAATGCCTTTGAGATTCCTGCGAGTTGTTGGATGTGTCAACAATTTATTCTTTTTTTATTGCTGAGTAGTATTCTATTAGATGGATGTGCTCCCAATGAAGGACATTTGGATCGTTTCCAGTTTTGGGTGATTATGACTATAGCTACTATAAACATTGCTATACAGGTTTTTGTGTGAACATAAGTTTTCATTTCTCTAGGGTACTGCTAAGATTGGGATTACATGATCATATAAAGTATGTTTAACTTTGTAATACACTGTCACACTGATTTCCAGAGTGGCTGTATCATTTTTCATTCTCACCAGCAACATGTGCGAGTTCCAGTTGCTTCATCTCCTCTCTAGCACTTTGTATTGTCGGATTTTTTAGTTTAGCCATTCTAATAGGCATGTAGTGGTATCTCGTGGTCTTAATGTGTCTTTAACTAATGGCTAAAGATGTTGAATATCTTTTCGTGTACTTAATTGTTATATATAATCTTGGGTGAGTATCTGGCCAAGACTTTTGCCTATTTTTAAATTCAGTGGTTTCTTTCTTATGTTGAGTTTTGAGGGTTCTTTATATGTTCTGGATACAAGTTGTTAGATATGTTTTGCAAAAGTTTCTTGCAGTCTATAGCTTCTTTTCATTGTTTTAACAGTGTCTTTCACAGAGCTAATTTTTTAATTTTGATGAAATCTAATTTATCCATATTTCCTTTTGTACATCTTTTGGTAGCATGTCTAAGAACTTTGCCTAATCCCAGGTCAAGAAGATTTTCATCTTCTAGATATTATAGTTTTATATTTAGATCTATAATCTTTTTTTTTTTTTTTTCCGGTACGCGGGCCTCTCACTGCTGTGGCCTCTCCTGCCGCGGAGCACAGGCTGCAGACGCGCAGGCCCAGCAGCCATGGCCCACGGACCCAGCCGCCCCGCGCGGCACGCGGGACCCTCCCGGACCGGGGCACGAACCCACGCCCCCCGCATTGGCAGGCGGACCCTCAACCACTGCGTCACCAGGGAAGCCCTAGCTTCAATTATTATATAAGGTGTGAGATTTAGGGGAAGGTTTACTTTTTTGCATATGAATGTCCACTTGTTCCATCACCATTTGTTGAAAAGACTGTCTTTTCTCCATTTAATAGTTTTGCACCTTTGTCAAAAATCAATTGGCTGTATTTGTGTGGGTCTATTTTGGCCCTCTGTTGTGTTCCATTGACTTTTGTATCTTTCTCTTTGCCAGTATCAAACTTTCTTGATGGATGTAGTTTTATAGTGTCTTAAACTTGGGTAGCATAATCTTCTCCAGCTTTATTCTTTTTCAAAATTGTTTTAGCTATGCTACTTCATTTGCCTTTCCATATAAAGTTTAGAATCAGCTTGTCTCTAACTACAGAATATTCTGCTGGTACTTTGGAATTATATCAAACCGTAGATCAATTTGGGGAGAATTGCTATTTTTACTTTGTTGAATCTTTCAATCTATGAACATGATGTATCTTTCCATTTATTTCTTTGTTTCATTAGTGTTTTGTAGTTTTCAGTATACAGATCCTGTACATGTTTTGTTAGATTTATGCCAAAGTATTTCATTTTGGGAGGAAACTATTGTAAATATCATTTTAAAAATTTTTGGCTTCAAATTGTACATTGTTAAGATATTAGAAATACAGTTGAGTGTTGTGTGTTGCTCTTGTATCCTGTGTCCTTGCTAAACTCACTTATTAGTTCCAGGATTGTTTGTTTGAAACCTTGGAGTTTTCTAGATAGACAGTCATGTCATCTGTGAATAGAGATAGTTTTTTTCCCTAATCTATAAGCGTTTTAAGTATTTTATTTGCCTGTTGCTCTGGCTAGGCCTAATGATAAACAGGAGTAGTGAGAGTGGACATCCTTACCTTGTTCTCAGTCTAAGGGGGAATTCAATCTGTCTTTCAGAATTAAGTGTGATGTTAGCTGTAGATTTTTTTTTTTTTTAATAGATGCCCTTTATCAGGTTGAAGAAGTTCTCTTCTGTTTCTAGTTTGCTGAGAGTTTTTTTCACAAATTGATGTTGATGTGGTTTTTCTTCTTTACTCTGTTAATATGGTGGATTACACTGATTGATTTTTGAGTATTGAACCAGCCTTGCATTCCCAAATAAAGCCCATTTGGTCCTGGTTATTCTTTTTATATATTGCTGGATGTGATTTACTAATATTTTGTTGAGGATTTTTGCATTTGTGTTCATGAGGAATTATTTGTTTAGTTTCCTTTTTTGTACTGTCTTTGTGTGGTGCTGGTATCAAGATAATGCTGGCCTTATAAAATAAGTTAGGGAGTGTTTTCTCCTCTTCTGTATTCCGGGGGAGAGTATGTATTATTCTTGAAAAGTTTGGTAGAATTCTCCAATGAAATCACCTGAGCCTGGAGATTTCTTTTTGAGTTTTTAAAGTTATAAATTCAATTTTCCTAATGGTTATATCAATTTCACTGATTTCTGCTCTTTATTATTCCCATCCTTTTTCTTGCTTTGGGTTTATTTTGCGATTCTTTTTCTAGTTTTTTGAGGTGGGGGCTTAGATTATTGATTGAGACTTTTCTTCTTTTCTAAGGTAAGCATTTAGTGCTGTAAATTTTCCCTCTCAGCAGTATGTTAGCTGTGTCCCATAAATTTTGACATATTTTCATTTTAATTCAATTCAGTTATTTTTTAAATTTCTCTTGAGCTTCTTCTTTGGCCCATGGGTTGTTGAGAAATCTGTGTTTTTAATTTCCAAATGTTTGGAGATTTTCCTGTTATCTTTCCATTACTGATTTCTAGTTTGATTTTATTGTGGTCCCTTTATTTGGCTTTTGTTGAGGGTTGTTTGATGGCCTGGAATATGTTCTATTTTGGTATATGTTCAGTGGGTGCTTGAAGTATATTCTGCTGTTGTTGCGTGGACAGCTCTATAAATGTTGATTGGATTCTGACAGTTTTCTGTTTTTAGAATTTCATTTTGTTTTATTGTGTTTTATAGTGTTTTTGAGTATTTCTTTGTGTAACTTGTTTAGCTGCGTAGGTAATTTATCACAGTCTGTTGGTGTCAACATTTTACCAGTTCAAGTGAAGTTAAGAAACCTTACCTCCCTTTTGTCCTCTTCCATGTATAATTTTTTTTTTTTAATTTGGCTGCGCAAGGTCTTAGTTGCAGCATGTGGGATCTTTGTTGCAGCACGCGGCATCTTTTTTTTAGTTGCAGCACGCAGGCTCTTTTAGTTGCGGCATGCGAGATCTTTATTTGTGGCATGTGGGATCTTTAGTTGCGGCACGCAGGATCTTTTTTTATTTTTTTCTTTTTTTTTTGCGGTACGCGGGCCTCTCACAGTTGTGGCCTCTCCCGTTGCGGAGCACAGGCTCCAGATGCGCAGGCTCAGCTCCACAGCATGTGGGATCTTCCCGGACCAGGGCACGAACCCGTGTCCTCTGCATCGGCAGGTGGACTCTCAACCGCTGTGCCACCAGGGAACCCCAGGATCTTTTTTTAGTTGCAGCATGTGGGCTTGTGGCATGCAGGATCTAGTTCCCTGACCAGGGATCGAACCCGGGCCCCCTGCACTGGGAACACAGAGTCTTAACCACTGGACCACCAGGGAAGTCCCCTCTTCCACGTATAATTACTTGTCTTAAGTGTTTTCTCTACATATATTGAAAACCATATTGAACAGTATTATAATTTTTCTTTCAACTGTCAAATATAACATTTAAGAGAAGTTTGCTATATTTACCCATATTTTTACTTCTGTCATCTTCTTTCTCTTGTTCCAATACTTTAAGTTGTTGTTTTAATCATTTAATTATGTCTGAAGTGGAGACCTAGGACCTGTACTTTAACAAGTGCTCCTAGATGCTTCTTACAATCGTGCAAGTTTGTGAAGCATTAGGGACAATTACTGAGACTCCATTAGGGGCAAAGAAAGGAATGTTCTTCACATTTCAGACATGTTTTGTGTAGTGGTTGTATAAATGGATTTTTGGTTAAGGTAGCTGGAATATAATAGCTAAGTAGGTAGGAACTTAACTAGTAATTTTAAGAAGAAATATGAAGAAATTGGCTTTCTGTTCTTTTCAGTCTAAAATGCGAACAGTACACATTCTATTACTTTCATTATATGAGGAACTGTAACTAGTCTGAAACTAATGAAAAAAATGCATGGTATAAGATGATGTGTAGAGGATCCATTGTAATCTAAACACTAAAGCACAGTAACTAAGAGCCCGATGCTATCACGTGGCTGCATGGCATTATACAAAACCCTTCCTTAGGGTGCTGTTCTAGGGACATTAATTATTACCTGTGAGGATGAAGAGCAGTTTCCTTAGATTTTGAATTTGTTGCCCATTTGGTGGTAACTATCCACCAAATGGGATAAAAGGAGGATTTATTATGGTATATGAAACTACCATTTTTTTGAATGCCTAACTTTCACTGTGCTAAGTGCTTTGTATCTATCATTGATCAACAATCCTGTGAGGTAAATATCCTCAGGAAACTGAAGCTTCAAGAGGTTAAGCAATAACTTCACTAAGAGCACAGAACCAGTAAATAGCAACTAGTAAGTCAGGCCTCGACTCTTAACACTCATACTCTAGTCTCAGTGAAAGGCAGAACTATGTAATCTAGGCATTTATTGGTACCTGGAAGTCATACATTCTGCTGTTGTTAAGGGTGCAAAAGTGAATGGTATCATTGTCTCTTTTTTCAAAGAATTTACATTATCTGAACAGGATGGGGAGAGGGCCTTCAACACTGAAAAAAATTCTTGCAATTCATTATGATTATTTCTTGATAAAACAATTATAGCTTATTTTATTTTATATAGGTTTTATGTCATGAAAAAATAACTTCATTTTAAACCACAGATTTGAGAGAGAAGATCGGATCACCTGGAATTAAATTTGGCCCAGAAACCTTTTCAACTCTTAAAATGTTGGAGGAAGATATGGAAGTGGCCATAAAGATGGTGGTTGTAGGGAATGGCGCAGTTGGAAAATCAAGTATGATTCAGCGGTATTGCAAAGGCATTTTTACAAAAGACTACAAGAAAACCATTGGAGTTGATTTTTTGGAGCGACAGATACAGTATGTACTTGGCTGTTTTATCCTCTCAGTTTTGATATGTGAGCTGTGTCCATGAGTTTGCTCAGAATAATAGTAACTGAGTACAATACAATCCAAAGCTAGGTGTCGAGTGGCAGCGGGTTTTCAGTTAGTCACTCCTTTGTGTGTCTTTGCCTTCCTTTTTTCCCCTCCCCCATCTCTTCCCTTCCTCTCTCATTTTTTCTTCTTTTTTTCCTACACTTCTCCCTTCTCTCTTTTTCAATCTTACATCTGTTTTATATTTATTGGTGGCACCCTGGGCACTTCTTAAACACAAACTGACGCTTGATTTTACCGAGATTTCTGTCGACTATTTTATTTGGAAAGAAAGTTACCTGTCTCGCAGAATAATTTTCATCTCTTATATTATGGGATCTGTTTGTGTAAAATGTCTCTTCTCTTTTTAAAACGGGGCTTATAGAAGTTAGAGAATTAATAATTTGTTTTTACTTTAAAGAAATAAGAGAAAGATTTGAGAGGATTTTAAATACTCCTGTGAAAAGGAAATCCAACTGGATTCTAAAACACATCAAAGTAACACTTTTTGTCATTAGTCCTGAGAACTTTTAAGGATATTTTAAATTGTAGGAGAAACATTAAACAAATCTGATTTAACTATCCCAGACACTAGCATCAAAGATAATTGTGTTCATTGTTTTAAAGATGTTGAATTTATAATCTGTATTCTGTTACCCTCTTTTTAAAAATACTTCTCTGTTTGCTTCCTTTCTTAGATATTTTAAGGGGATTCATTTTAAATCTTGATGATGTTTATTTTTTGCACTTGCTATCTGGACCAAATTAATATTTTAAGTACACAGTTGACCCTTATTATTTATAGACTCCATATTTATATTTTAAGTATGCAGTTACTTCTCATGATTTGTGGATTTCACATTTGCAAATTCACTGCTTGCTAAAATTTGTTTGTAACCCCAGACTTAGTACTCCCAGTACTCTGATGGTCATTTGTGGACATGCACAGAGCAGCAAAAAATTTGAGTCACTTATACACACACGTTCGGCTGAGGTTGAACAAGGCGACCCACTGCATTTTTGTTTCATCTCTCATACTGTACATGAGTGGCCTTTTCATGTTCTGTTTTTGTGCCACATTTTTGTGCTTTTTGTTGGTAGTTTCACTGTTTAAAATGGCCCCAAGCCTAAAGCTGAAGTGCCGTCTGGTGAGCTGTGACGTGCCTTATGGAGAAAACACATGTATTAGATAAACTTCGTTCAGGCACCAGTTATAGTACTGTTGGCCATGGGTTCAATGTTAATGAATCAACAGTGTATATTAAATAAGGTGTGTTTAAACAGAACAATGCAAAAAACAATGTTATATATTGATCAGTTGATGAAATTGTAACCAGGGGCTCACAGGCACCTCACCCACCTGGTATTTTCCCTCAGAGGAATGGTTCAGGATTTGCTAATTCAGTGTTGGCAGTGACTCTGTAGAACAAAACTACTGCCTGCGAATAAGACAACAGGTGTGACAGAACAGAGTTAATTTGGGGGTTAAAGGGCAACCAAGCAGTAAGCTGCTTCTTTCCTTTCTTACTATTCTCCCCCATTAGAATAGGGTAGCAGGAGGAGGGCAAGCACTGACCTAAGGGAACCCTTTCCCAGGACAGCTGATCCTGGGTGTCCAGGATCCCACGGACACCAACATCCATGGGTACTCAGTCCCTTGTATAAAATGGCATAGTATTTGCATTTAACCTACACACGTGCTCCCATAGACTTTCAGTCATCTCCAGATTACTTATAATATCTAATATAATGTAAATGCTGTGTAAATAGTTGCCAGGCACACAGTAAATTCAAGTTCTGCTTTTTGGAACTTTCTAGAATTTTTTTTCCAAATATTTTCTATCTGCAGTTGGTTGAATCCTCAGGCGTGGGCCCCTCGGATGCTAGTCTTAGAGCCACCACTATCTGTGACTGTGGTTGAAGGAAAAAACATGACAGATAAATCCAAATCGTGTAAAATTACAGCTTTAGGGGAGTGTCTTTCACCCTTTACTCGCACTGTTGGTAATGGTATCAGCATTTAAAAGCACTCAGACTTTTTCAGAGTGAAACCAGCAATGTAGTTGTTTTTTTAAAATAAGTAAGTAAATAAATAAATTTATTTGTTTATTTATTTTTGGCTGCGTTGGGTCTTCGTTGCTGTACGCGGGTTTTCGCTAGTTGTGGCGAGCAGGGGCTACTCTTTGTTGCGATGCGCGGGCTTCTCATTGCAGTTGCTTCTTTTGTTGTGGAGCACAGACTCTAGGCACACGGGCTTCAGTAGTTGTGGCACACGGGCTTAGTTGCTCTGCGGCATGTGGGATCTTCCTGGATCAGAACTCGAACCCGTGTCCCCTGCATCAGCAGGTGGATTCTTAATCACTGCACCACCAGGGAAGCCCAACAATGTAGTTTTAATACCTCCAGACTTGAAAAATACATTTCCTTTGCATATGAAATACATTCATCTCTTGTTTCAGAGTTAATGATGAAGACGTCAGGCTCATGTTATGGGATACCGCAGGTCAAGAGGAGTTTGATGCAATAACAAAGGCCTACTATCGAGGTAAATCATGGGTGTCTTTAGTTTGTTTTGACATGTTCTTTTAGCTGAACAAAGAACTTTGCTTTTCTTGTTTCCCATAGAAGGATTTCTCTTTAAGAATATTTAAATTAATTCCAAAGTATTTTTTAAAACCCCAGGCTATTATTCTAAAGATCTTGTTGGGTGGTAAATAATACTCTGTGCTATAGACTGTTTATCTCTGCCTTAGAATTACATGACTCATATAGTCATTCCCAGACCTAATAAGTCAGAAGTTGTGAAATGTCTTCTCTGACTCCAGGGAAATGACTGTATAGTCAGAGTGGAAACTAACATAAGAAAAAGTAAAGCCCTGGCAGGCAAGATGGCATTTTGTTATGATATTTAATGTGGGTAAAGCCTTCTCTAGGCTATACGAGTTCAGGGAAGTATGAGATATATGTGAAAAGGAAGAGCTACAATGATAGGATCTAAGACTAAATAAACTGTGGGGGAAATTCCTCTTTTTACCTACCTAGGTTTCTTCTCTAAATTCTCAGCCTAAAATATATGTTCTTTTTGTGTGGAAAAAAATAGGTTGGGCTATTTCTTTTTAGCTTTTCACAATGTGATGTGGCAGTATTACTTTTTAACTAGTATGGTTATTTTTGGAGAAAGTATTATCATTATGTCTCTCTAATTTAAAAGGACAAAACTGTGAGTCTACAATTATCTCAAAATAAAGTTTAACTTAAAAAAAGACAAAACTGGTCAAATGTCAGAATGATTTGATTCGTATATGAATAAAAAGGAGAAAACGTTGGAACTGTACAGTTAAGTAGCTCATTTGGGTCCCTAATTTAAAGAAAAAGACCAGGTAGCTAAACATATTTTAATATCCACTGCCATAAGACTTTGTTCAACATTATTATCTTCTAATTTTTTTAACTTGACTCATCCAGTTTGTTGCAGACTTCTTGTTTTAACTTGTTAGATGTCCATGAATCATACCGTTTCTCTTTCATATGTTTACAAAAAACATTCTTTGCCAGAAACTAAAAAGAGAGCCCATAATTGTTAGTATTTACATCTTAATTTATATGGGTGATGTTCAAATTTCTTTTCACTTTGTTTCATTTGGACTAAAAGGCTTTAAAAAGCATTGATTTCCCTGTGTTTAACATTTTAACTTAAAGCAATCTTAAGTGTATAAATAGATCTGTTAAAAGGTTTTTTTTAAATGTAACATTTTTTAGCCAACTATGTTAAAATGGCAAAGAGGGTAGATACTGAGACAGGTCTTAAGCTTCAGCTTTTTTCCTCACATCCCTATCTGAATTAAGGAACAAACAGTGGCAATGTTACATGAATTTGAGAAATGGCATATTGGACTTATTTGCTTTTTTTTTTTTTGAGGTTCTATCAGAGTGCTTTTGGTTGCTGACAGCAGAAAAGCAATTTCAAACCGACTTATTTAGCGTCTGTTGACTTGTTACTGGGAGTAGCTTTCATTTGTGGTTTGTTGGGACTATAACCTTGCTGATTCTTCTGGCTGGCTGCCTCCCTGTGTGGGGCTCCTCTTCATGCTGATTTTCCTCTTGTCTGCAAGTTTGCTACCATCGACAGTGCTTTTTGTTCACATTCTTGGGGACCGAGGGTTACTTCCCACAACAGTGGACCAAAAGTCCAGAGCTTTTATCTGATTAGACCACATTTGACCAGATTACAGTGAGTAGTCAGAGGAAGGTGATTGCCCTAATGGGCTTGGCGCACTTGGGGCTCCCCCAAGGCAGAGGGAAGTTTAGCTGCCTAAACCATAGGCTACTGTACAGAGGGGGAGAGGTGTTCTTGGGGACAGGACACTGGATGGCGGCTAGGCACCAGGTAATATCTGCTACTAGTATAGATTCAGATGACGATATAATTAAATAAAGAGTAGGAAGAAAAGGTAAGGTGGGCAGAATGAGTTAAGATAGAGATTTAGTGATAGAAACACTATGCCTTATAAAATTATGACCTACTGACTTATGTTCTAAAAATGTGTTATTCAAGATACATAAAAATTACATTTAAAAAAGAAAAAATTTATTGTAATTCATTTGAAAGACCTGTTATAGCAAGACCATTGCTCCAAGGCATCATTATGTTCTTAGAATGCTGGCTTAATTGTACAGTGAGACATGTGGAAACATGATCTCCTTATCAGTAGGTTAGAACAGAGCACAGATCATATTAGGAAGCCTTTGGGAGCCCAGATGACTCCCGTTAAACCCTTAAGAAGGTCCACCCTAGGCAGTAGAAACCGTACTTAGTACAGAAAGTTACATACAACATGAAGTAGATTTTTATTACAGTTTTCTACTGTGACTTGGTTCTCAGAAAAAAAATGCTTCTAAGTATATGTAAATTAGGTTATAGACTTGAGAACTATTATTTGAGATCATGCACATAAGTAGAAGGAAACCCTTATTTTCTTAAAAAATATTTTTTTCACAAATATAAATGAATATAAATTGTTGGAAATGAAATAGCTCTGGACAAGAAGCTAGTTATAAGTTATAATTATAAATGCAAGAATTAAGGAACAACAGAATTAGACTATGCAAGTCTGAGGTTTGTTTTGAAATTATGTGAGCATGGAATCTGTGACAGATTGGTTCAGTGAATAATTTATGTGCTTTAGATTGTATAGAATGTCAAAAAGAATAAGGGACAGCATTTTAAATCCTGAGTAGTATCTATAATAGTATTTTTAAAGCCTTTGCTAGTGTTCGCTAGAGCAGTGTTTCTTAAACTTGACTGTGCACAGGAATCCCCTGGGGAGCTCATTAAAATGCAAACTGAATTCTGTAGATCTGTGGGTAGCTCTGAGAGTCTGCATTTCTACAGCCTTCCTGGTGACACTGATGCTGCTGTCAGCCACACTCAGGACCTGCCTACAGATCATCTTGTAGGATCTGTCAGTGATTTGAGGATAGAATGACTCTCTGCACATTATGTGTCTTGGAGAGTATTTTCTGAATTGCATTAAAATACAGTGGCTTTTTTGGAATGATCTTATTAAGGAGGAATGAATACTTGCTATTGGTGATCTTATCATTGACACCAAAAATTTATTCAGAGCTCTGTATTTCTGATGCATGGACAAGTGAGGTAGTTTATTAACTGTTGGAAGTGATCCACTTATGGGTGACTTAAGAAACTTTTCCAGGGCTTTCCTGGTGGCGCAGTGGTTGAGAGTCCGCCTGCCGATGCAGGGGACGCGGGTTCGTGCCCCAGTCCGGGAAGATCCCACATGCCGCGGAGTGGCTGGGCCCGTGAGCCATGGCCTCTGGGCCTGCGCGTCTGGAGCCTGTGCTCCGCAACGGGAGAGGCCACAACAGTGAGAGGCCCGCATACCGCGGGAAAAAAAAAAAAAAGAAGAAACTTTTCCAATGGTGCAATTTTTAGGGTAGGTAGTATTGAAGGAAGATTGAATAGGAAAATAAAGGTCTTTGTAAAACATATGGGTAGAAAACACTAGCTGCCTTTCAATATTAACAACAGAGAAATTAAAACAACTTTCCCAAAGATGGCTGGTACAAACACAGAGCTAGGGGTCCAAGGAAGAAACAGAAGGGAGAGCAGCGTGGGGTCATTTTAATTTACTTTATTATTTTTTTAGGGTCATTTTACACCTCCCCCCACACGCACACACACACAGCTGGGTGGGTGTGGGATGTAGAAGTGAGAGGCCAGGGAAAGAAGGGAGAACCAGGGAAAGAACCAGGGAGGCCAGGGAAAGAAGGGTGCAGTAATGAGCCAGTTACTACTGCAGGCGGGGAGACACGCCTCACGGTGACCCCACCCCAGGGAAGCTGAGGTTTTTATCCCCCCTCCCCTCCCCAGGCATCCAGTTCCCTTAGGGGGTGTGCTAGGCCACCCCTGGCAGAAGAGCAGAGCGCCCCCTGTAGCCCGTGCTGGAGGGTCGGGGCGGGGAACACACAGGGCACCTGTGGGGGGAGGGGGCACCGTGCTCACCTCCCTGGTGGCTTCTGAATCCAGGTCCCTCCTCCTCCTCCTCAGAGGGCACTGCGGCCCATCCCGCCCAGTGTGGTCTCTCTACCCAGTCCCCCACTAAATAATTTTGGGTTTTATGGACAGACTTTTTCTTTTATCCTTTGATCCTTGATTTTTCAAACAAAATTGTGCTTTTCTTAGTTAATTATTCTTACTGCCCATATCTCTGTCACCATCTGCTTAGTTTTTTTTTGTTGTTTGTTAGTTGTTTTTGTTTTGTTTTGTTTTTTTGCGGTACGCGGGCCTCTCACTGTTGTGGCCTCTCCCGTTGCGGAGCACAGGCTCCGGACGCGCAGGCTCAGCGGCCATGGCTCACGGGCCCAGCCGCTCCGCGGCATGTGGGTTCTTCCCGGACTGGGGCACGAACCCATGTCCCCTGCATCGGCAGGCGGACTCTCAACCACTGCGCCACCAGGGAAGCCCTGTTTTGTTTTTTTTTTTAACATCTTCTCTAATAAGTGTTTTTTTGTGTGTCTGAGACCTTGTATACTTGGAAATACCTTATTGGACCCTCAAATTTAAACGACACTTGACTGATATAAAATTCTAGGTTTAAAGCTAACAGAGTTTTATAACAAAAAAGTTTCTTTTTTTTTTTTAAGATTTTTTTTGTTTTGTTTTGATGTGGACCGTTTTTTAAAGCCTTTATTGAATTTGTTACAATAGTGCTTCTGTTTTATGTTTTTGGTTTTTTGGCCCCAAGGTATGTGGGATCTTAGCTCCCCAACCAGGGATCGAACCCGCACCCCCTGCATTGGAAGGCGGAGTCTTAACCACTGGACCACCAGGGAGGTCCCCAAAAAAGTTTCTTAAAGTATGATTAAATAATGTTTTATTTGTAGTTTAAGTAAATGTTAGAGTTCAAGTAAATATAAATTTGTTGTCCAATATGCTAGTGTGATCTCTTCAGTTTTACTTCTCCTTCAATTCTGAGCAAGTCTCAGGCTGTGTCTGTCAATCTGCCTGTCCCCCACCCCTCAGTTTTGCATAATTAATTTATTCTTTGGTGCAAAGCCTGTTCTAGAGGAGAGAAGCCTTTGCTTTTACAATCATAGTGAACTGCTGGTTTTTTCCTTCATTAATTGTTCTTTGGGTTTCTACCATATTCCCTCAGGTGATAAACAAACCTTTTTTGCCCCTAGAGTGTCTTAGGTAGCCCAGGTATGTGTGTCTTGAGTCTTAGTAGGAAACTCTTATACCTGGGATATCTGGAAGGAAGGAGTAGCAGTGAGGAACCCTCTTGACTCCAGGACGATTTTCTCTTCTCACCTGTTTTTGTCACTATGCTGTGTGATTCAACAGCAAATCATTGGTAAAAACCCTCTTCCAGAAGGTTGATGCTTATTTTTAAAATGAGATATTATCAACCTAATGTGATAGTTGATAGTTAAAATATTGTGAGTATGGTATGGGAATTATGCAGTTAAAGAGGATGAAAAATTAAATTAAACTCTAACATCTTCTCTAATAAGTGTTTTTTTGTGTGTCTGAGACCTTGTATACTTGGAAATACCTTATTGGACCCTCAAATTTAAACGACACTTGACTGATATAAAATTCTAGGTTTAAAGCTAACAGAGTTTTATAACAAAAAAGTTTCTTTTTTTTTTTTAAGATTTTTTTTGTTTTGTTTTGATGTGGACCGTTTTTTAAAGCCTTTATTGAATTTGTTACAATAGTGCTTCTGTTTTATGTTTTTGGTTTTTTGGCCCCAAGGTATGTGGGATCTTAGCTCCCCAACCAGGGATCGAACCCGCACCCCCTGCATTGGAAGGCGGAGTCTTAACCACTGGACCACCAGGGAGGTCCCCAAAAAAGTTTCTTAAAGTATGATTAAATAATGTTTTATTTGTAGTTTAAGTAAATGTTAGAGTTCAAGTAAATATAAATTTGTTGTCCAATATGCTAGTGTGATCTCTTCAGTTTTACTTCTCCTTCAATTCTGAGCAAGTCTCAGGCTGTGTCTGTCAATCTGCCTGTCCCCCACCCCTCAGTTTTGCATAATTAATTTATTCTTTGGTGCAAAGCCTGTTCTAGAGGAGAGAAGCCTTTGCTTTTACAATCATAGTGAACTGCTGGTTTTTTCCTTCATTAATTGTTCTTTGGGTTTCTACCATATTCCCTCAGGTGATAAACAAACCTTTTTTGCCCCTAGAGTGTCTTAGGTAGCCCAGGTATGTGTGTCTTGAGTCTTAGTAGGAAACTCTTATACCTGGGATATCTGGAAGGAAGGAGTAGCAGTGAGGAACCCTCTTGACTCCAGGACGATTTTCTCTTCTCACCTGTTTTTGTCACTATGCTGTGTGATTCAACAGCAAATCATTGGTAAAAACCCTCTTCCAGAAGGTTGATGCTTATTTTTAAAATGAGATATTATCAACCTAATGTGATAGTTGATAGTTAAAATATTGTGAGTATGGTATGGGAATTATGCAGTTAAAGAGGATGAAAAATTAAATTAAACTCTTTTCCTCTCTACTATATATAAATATTTTACTCTCGGCACTGGTTCCTAAATTACATTCTTTAGCATTGATGGTATTCTGCTACTAAAATAAAATAATATAGATTTTTTTTAAAAAGTAAATAGAATGAGAAAATTATGATATTTTTCTCTCATAGACTTTTCTTAAATCTGTGCCAAAAGAAATTAAGAAGCAGGTGACAGATATTAACGAGAAGAACTCAGCAACTCTGTCATTCATGCCTAGTTTACTGTTCTCTGTGGCTTTTACAGTGTTATTAAATATATCAGTATTTTGTGGTGTTCCACAAGGAATGTGTATAATTTTGAGGGTACTTTGGCACTTGCACAAATTTGAGAACCACTGTTCTTGGTAAAAATTGGTTCTTTGAATTAGAAAATAGAGTTTATATGTTAAAAAATAGGGCTTCCCTGGTGGCACAGTGGTTAAGAATCCACCTGCCAATGCAGGAGACACGGGTTCGAGTCCTGGTTAGGGAAGATCCCACATGCCACGGAGCAACTAAGCCCGTGTGCCTCAACTACTGAGCCTGCGCTCTAGAGCCCGTGAGCCACAACTACTGAAGCCCGCGCACCTAGAGCCTGTGCTCCGCAACAAGAGAAGCCACTGCAATGAGAAACCTGCGCACCAAAATGAAGAGTAGCCCCCGCACACTGCAACTAGAGAAAAGCCCACGCAGCAACGAAGACCCAACACATCCAAAAATAAATTAAATTTTTAAAAAAAGCAGTGCTACAAAGATGAGTTCAACATTTATTTACATAAAAATTGTTTTGAATACGTAAAAGTTCCCCTCACCCTGCATAGGATTGTTTCATTAATGTAAATAACATTTTTATTTTGTGAACTTACAGGAGCCCAGGCTTGTGTGCTTGTATTTTCCACCACAGACAGGGAATCTTTTGAAGCGATTTCCAGTTGGAGAGAGAAGGTGGTGGCTGAAGTTGGAAATATACCAACTGTACTTGTACAAAACAAGATCGATCTCCTTGATGACTCTTGTATAAAGAAGTAAGGTGGCTCCTGTTGAGGGGGTGGCTGTAATTCTGTAAAGCTAAAACCTATTTTAGTTTTTGCATACACTTACAAAATTTAGGAAAGTTTTTAAAAAGACTGCCTTATACTTAAAAATTTCTGTGAGCTATTGTGTGATTGGATTGGGTTTAAAAAAGTTCACACTGAATCAGTAGTGAAGAAAATTAAAGGAGTACGTTTTGAAAGCCCTTTTAGAATTCCAGGTCCTTGCAGCTCAAATCCAACTCCGCATGTGAAGTCAAATCTAGACAGAGTAAGAATGTTAAGAGAAACATTCCGGAACTTCCCTGGTGGCGCAGTGGTTAAGAATCTTCCTGCCAGTGCAGGGGACATGGGTTCGATCCCTGGTCCAGGAAGATCCCACATGCCGCGGAGCAACTAAGCCCGTGTGCCACAACTACTGAGCCTGCGCTCTAGGGCCCGCGAGCCACAACTACCGAAGCCTGCATGTCTAGAGCCCATGCTCTGCAACAAAGAGAAGCCACCGCAATGAGAAGCCCACGCACTGCAACAAGTGTAGCCCCCGCTCACCGCAACTAGAGAAAGCCTGCATGCAGCAACGAAGACCCAATGCAGCCAAAAATAAATAAATAAATTTAAAAAGGAAAACATCTCTAGATGTTTTAATATCTAGTATAAGTATGTTGATGAGTTTAAATAGGTAAGCAGTTCAGATTCGTATTGTTTTGTATACCCAGAACTATTATGCTCACATTTGTGAACAGAGTTTGGCATCCAAATAATTTCTCTGTATAAGTATTTGTTTACTGCATTATTAACGTTTTGCTGGCTTTGAAAATACTTACTTGGTTTTTACCTTATTTTTTTATAAGTTCTTGTATTAGTTGTCTGATGCTGTATAACAGATTAGCCCAAAACTTAGTAGTTTAAAGCAACAAACATTTATTATGTCACAGTTTTTGTGGGTTAGGAATTTGGGAGTGGCTTAGTTAGGTGGCTTGGTTCTGGGTTTTCATGAGGTTGGTGTCAATATATTGCCGGGGCCTGTGGTCACAGGAGGGCTTTTGACTGGGGCTGGGGGGGGTCTGCTTCCGGGATGGCACCCTCGCTTGGCCATGGGCAGGTGGCCTCTCCTTGGGGCTGTAAATGTCCTCAGCATGTGGCAGCTGCTTCCCAGGCACGTGATCCCAGAGGAGGCAAGGCAGAAACCGCAGTGCCTCTTATGAGGAGTCTCAAAGTCACACGCCATCACTTAGATATGTCATTGATGACACAGACCAACTTGATTACAGTGGGGGAGGGGAGGCGTGTGGTAGAATCATTGGGAAATATTTTAGAGAATTGGGAGTCATAATGAAACTAAAATTAGGCGTCCACTGTTCTAGACACATCAATATACTGACTTAGGCTTTGGCAGCAAAGTAGTTTTGTAGCCAATAAGAGTAAAATAGGTAATGCAGTATAAGACTTTCAGAGTGTAATTAAATTCAAGTATTTTTAATAACCAAAGAGAGAAAATTAAAGTAGTATATAAAGAAAAGTGACATTTAGTCATTTTAAGGCTTGAGTAAGTGACTTTATAGAAAAGTGTCTTGCAGTTACAGTGAGATGGCTGGTGTTTACCCCCGCAAGAGCAGTGACAACTGAAAATCCTGCTCAAGCACTGAGTGTAGCTCTCACCTGTTCTGGAAGGGCTGACCGCTGTCCTCAGGCTGTATGCAGTAGATGTAATAAAACAAGCTCTCAGAAAGTACCTTTACATGCGTTTTTTTCAAATTGATGTGTAGTGAGGAAGCTGAGGCACTGGCAAAAAAGTTGAAGCTGAGATTCTACAGGACTTCAGTGAAGGAGGATCTGAACGTGACGGAAGGTAAAGTGCCTTCTTAACAGTTAACAGCAGGAAGTTTGTTTATTCTTCTTATGCCTTTTCTTTTTGTTGTTTAGAAATCGTATTTGTAACGAGAATAGAATTTTCTCTTTGTCATGTATCATTAAGTAAAGTTTAAAGGCTGATGCTGCTCTGAATTTGAGTCCTTGATTATTTACTAATGTCTTTGAATAGTTGTTACTCTACAGCAAAACTCCAGTGGGCTTTTGTTTTGTTTTTTATCTTTAAAAATACAACTGGCTATGTGTGTGCGTATATGCGTGTGTGTCTTTCAAGCGTACCTTCTAAAATTGCTGCATTAGAACCCCACAGCGGTGGACACCCCACTAGGTAGTTACAGTGACCTTAACTTGTTTAATAGTGTTTCCTAGTTTAAGAAAGTGAGATTAGAGAAAGATGGTGGTTATTTTTCTCATTCTGGAATTGCTGCTCATTTTATTAGATTGCAGCTCAGCTGTTGCTTCAGTGTCCCCTGAATAGTGGTTTTCAGTTAAAGAGTCTTTTTAATACTGAGTCAGTTTAGTGTTGCTGAATATTAGTCACTATTCAGGTACTTAAAACTAAAGAGCCAATGACTACAAGTAATATTTTATTTCTTTACTAATAAAATGCTACTATATATTTATTAGTATTACCATTGTAATTAGGTATTACTCAGATAATTTTTAGAAGTGGAATTTTTTCAACTAGATTGTATACTTCTAATTATAATTTTAAATTTGTTTTGTAGGTATAAATATTATAGTAAATGATGTAAAAGAACAGGTTTTACATGCATAATTATACTGACCTGACAAGGTTCTTGGTTTTGTTTTCATTCCAGTTTTTAAATATTTGGCTGAAAAATATCTTCAAAAGCTTAAACAACAAATAGCTGAGGATCCTGAATCAATGCATTCAAGTAGTAACAAAATTGGTAAGTACCCAGGAAGTTTTAGCCCCATGTTTACCTGGTAAATTTATTTTCCATTCACTATTATCATATTTACTGGGTTTTTTTTTAAATACAGTATGCTCCTTTCTTTAAGAAATGTGACTGGAAAGCGTGAGATGAGTGATTATTAAATTTAGTAGTATCAGCTCTCATTAAAAGGTATATTGAGGGCTTCCCTGGTGGCGCAGTGGTTGAGGGTCCGCCTGCCGATGCAGGGGACACGGGTTCGTGACCCGGTCTGGGAGGATCCCACATGCTGCGGAGCGGCTGGGCCCGTGGGCCATGGCCACTGAGCCCGCGCGTCCGGAGCCTGTGCTCTGCAGTGGGAGAGGCCACAGCAGTGGGAGGCCCGCGTACCGCTGTGGGCCATGGCTTCTGGGAGGATGGGCGTCGGTCCTCTGTCCTAAGGACCTCCTGCCTGCACCTCACTCCTCACTACACACACACACACACACACACACACACACACACACACACACACACACACACACACACACACACACA